GATTTTGTCATTCGTAAGCAAGTTACTTCATTAGATACTTGCAAATTAATTTTATGGATTGGTCCACGTCACAATTCAGATCTTGCACGAACAAGAAGTGATCGATATTTGCAACATCCAATTATTCATCAATATATGCAGTAGTTTTATATTTATTGACTAACTAATACTGATTTTGTCCGTTACTATATTGTATAAAAGGCAATAGATATATTTCATATGTCGGCTTAATTTTTTTGCAGCCATCAAACAGTTCAATTATTTAAGGTTACTTTATAATTAAAGTAATAAAATAGAGACTTGTTTCAATAAAGTATCTTTCTCAAATAAATAAATAATTCGATGTGCAGTAGAAATGTCAAAAAAGTATAGAAAAGAAAAAAAGTCGAAAAATGAAGTACGACACTAAAACAAGTCTAAATTAAAAATAATCGAAATAGTGATGTCTCCAGTAAATGGTGACTCTAAACACGAATAATATATAATTCATTTTTTCTTTTCCTAAAATAACATTTTATATTTTTTTTCTTTTTTTATCTGTTCATTTATGTTTTGTTTCTATTACCATTTGCTAGTGTTAACGTACAAAATAAAGCACCTCTCTCATGTCAAAAATTTTCTAAAACACTTATTCGACCATTTTTTTTTCGATATTTTCTCCTTTCGACATTTTTTCTTCTCACCATTTTTGTTTTCGACATTTTTCTCTTTCGATATTTCTACTGCCAACCAATAATGCCCTATTCATGAAATTGTTATTTAAATAATTAAATTTGGCTAATATGAATTGAATTTATAACTCAATTTTTAGAAGACGGGAGAGAATTTTTCAGAGTAAAAGAAGGATAATCATAAAAATAAAAATTCTAGCCGCTTCGTATGCATATGTTGTATTTGAAAAAGTTAGTACTATTGTTTTGGGTGTGGGTGTGGGTTCTGAGCGTTTTTAATAATACAAAAGTCATTGTAGAGTGATCAGTGGATATGGATAGCATAGGAAAACTTTTTTCACCTATAACATCAATCAGTTTCATCACAGGCATATTGATTATCAAATCTATCTCACGGTATAATTAAGATATATGCCAGAATACTGAGAGACTTTCTTGCTATTTGTACTGAGTAAAGCTTTAATCCGAAATAGAGATAACACAGATTTTGATTTTCAGGAAATATTTACTCGGATTGAACTGAACTAATACCGAACTTGATTTGGTCTTACGAGGAAAAGTTCCCAACTATCAAATCTCTTTTCAGACCGAGATGATGTTCATTTGATGAAAACCAGTGAATAATAGAGAGGTCCAGAATGGCTTTATTTTCCAGGTCTTTCTTCTCGCGATATCGAGGGTGTGGATGTGGGTCGATATGTGTGCAAAGAGAAAAGAAACACACACACCTTCACACACCCACACCCTAAGAAAGTGGCGCCGATAAATATTTTGCACGTACTCATCTCTCTCACTGTACAGTACGATCATGGAATCAAATCCGTAAGTATCGCACAGAGTTACGCACTCAATCCCCCTACTGAAGCTCAACCAGATAGTCGAGATCTCTAACTAGAGGGTGATACCCACATCCACATCCTCAAAGTCGATGTTGATTCACATACTATTTCAATGAGGTGAAATTTGCACAGATTGATAGTTCTCGCTAAGCAGTGCAGCCATCGATTAACACCCACCAACATGGCAAACATGCCAACATTCAGTCCTAATGTTGACAGTCACGAGTAGACATTCTGATCTTCATGGAGCTTTAAGATAATGGAATTCTCAATCGAATCCACAATCTAGTAGCCACACCCGCCCCGAGAACTGACACTAAGAAATTTATTATGACACGTAAAACTCACACTAACAAAATGGGGCCGACGAAAAATATTCAGGGGCTGATAGTTTCTACCGTACAGGAAACTGTAGAACCACACCCACAAGCAAAGTTGGTAGATTGGAGAGGAGTCCCAAGAGAAAGCTCGCGCTCAAACCATTCCATTTACATCTCCATAACATACTCAGGTTTTTGAAGCCCGCATGTGCAGAATAAGCATGTGGTGGTGTTCTATTGTGTCTATAGCGCTTTATCGCTTCAACTCGTCGCTGAAAAATTTATTGTCGACCATACATTTCTTTCTTCAGTGAAAAATATTTCTCTTTCTTTCGCTTATATTCATTTAGTAGTCAAGAGTGTTGACAGTACGCACACAAAAAAACAGCTTTCTTTCTCTTTCTCTTGTAAATATTTGTTTGAGTGAATTTTTTCAATGTCACTGGAAAGACATGTATCAACGGCTTAATGTTTCGTTCTGGGTGAGAATCTGGGCATCGGGTTCTCGTGGTCGTCAGTGTAAAACAACTTGGTGATCAGGTTCACTGTGGGTGGGTACAGAAGAGAGGCGGTCTGAGTGTCGGTTGGCAACGCTGAACACGAGAGAATAGGTAGCTGAGTGAAAGTTCGAGATCGAATTGAGATCGGATAGGGAAAAGTAGGTATTTGCTTGCGTTTGCGTGAATAAGGGAGTGGGTATTTGGAAATGAATGGGTGGCAAGCGGGAGTTTTCAGAGAGTGTGGCGAAATGCAGTCAGTACTTGGTTAACTATGAGTGGGCAAAGCTACGAATGAGGTAGACTAATCGTAGGCTAGGGCTCGCGTTCCATGCATTACGCATGGGTAAGAGATGAGTTGGGCGAACATGGATAGGTAAATGTGCATTTCCATTCTTATGGAAGTGCATATGTGGTGGGTACGAATCGATCGAGTAGGAGTGCCCAAGTGAGGAACTAAGTTGAAAGTACATGAATGAACCTGTACACGCATTTGTCTGTGAATTGGAAAAGACAAGATCTTGATTTACTGTGTGATTGAATGTCAGTGTATGGAACAGAAAAGGTTGAAATGAAATTCAGATGGATGTGGGTTTGGAGGTCTTTGTTTATTCAATTAATTTTTTTTTCTCATCCACACACACCCAGATCCTCTGCGTTGAAAATTTAGACGTTATATACCTTACTAAAGTTGACTTCACGGCGCTATTACAGCTTTCACAAAAATGGAGGTCATGAATGCTGACATCAGAGTCTTTTATCTAGGGGTGGGACAGCTTCAGTCATTCTAGAAATTCTAGAGGGAAAGCATCTGAGGGAGATTTCTGGGAGGCTTCAACTTCAAAACTAACATCAAGTTTAAAATTTTCTGTGGGGTCTCAGTTAATAGTAGCCCTTCTTGGTGTTGATCCTTGAAATAAATTCATATTCAAAAGGTATATCGATGTCAGGTTGATTTCCCATTGGAACTACTACGTATGTGCAGCTTTTTATTGGACAAAATTTCCAAAGTCCCTCCCATTTACTGTGTAGCAGCATTTCAAAAGGCGTAGCTTTAAAATTAGGCCTTAAAAGAATCGATGAACGACAGTAAATCGAGTTTTCCTGAATCCAGAAATCAAGTATCAATAATTGATTTGGCTCAAGGTTAGCCCTCCTTCGTAGGCATCAAATAAAAAGAAACATCAAAGCGATGTTCGGTCCCAGCTGGATTTGAGTGTGGATACTCATTTTTACGCAAACAAGCACACCCACGCCCATACACCCATATCTTCTAAAGACAAACTTTTTTTTATCGCAAACTGAATACAACGAAGCCTTGAAAACTATATATCTTCTTTTCTGAATGCGCACCACCTGTATTGTTGACTATACTAATCATTTTCAATAGAGCTCAAGGTATACGATAAAACACACAAAGAGTTTGTCACACCTATAAAACAATCTTAATAAATGAATTTATCGAAAGTAATTTTGAAATTTACTGTTTAGGCTAATGATATCACATTTTAATGCGCTGTATATTCGAAATTATTCATTGATTCCGAAGATAAAGAATTTACAGTGACGAAGAATCAGAGGGTTTATTAGAGTAGAATTTACTGTGCCCATGAATTTATGTGCGTCAATCAAAGGAGTACTCAGCGAATCATTTTGCACAGAGATGCATATTCAACAATACTTTAGTGTGCAATAGTTTTCTTTGTCTGTCCTGTATTGCAATGCATTGCATCATATTTTTCAGGTACGAAGCAAGCAAAAAATCTTAAAAATTCATCATAGCAGCGGATAGTTTTGATCTAACGACCTTCGGATTATGAGACCGACGCGCTACCTCTGCGCCACGCTGCTCCTGTTCAATTTCCATCATAAAAGTCATTGCGCCTAATCTGTTTCATTCGTTACAATTGCGTACACTGCGAAAAAAACGTATCTGAAAAAACTCAAAAGGGTTTCCAACTAGTTACTATCTGAAACCTTTTTAGAATATCCGAGAATCGATTTTTGAACCTCCAGAAACCTGAGGGTGTGGGTGTGGGTGTCGTTCTTTTTGAATGCTCTAAGTATCTGCACCCACACCCACACCATCCACACCCTTTTATTATTATGATATTAGTTGAAGTATGATCAAATAGCGTAGGAAAATAGAGAATTGTTTTCTCTATCAGACTATATAGAGACAAATTTCTTGTAGCTTATTATACGGTATTAAAGTGTCAAATACCCTTACTTTTGGTATGCCCTAAGTATATCTCATAGAAAATCTTTTGTTTTTCATTGTAACGAATATGATCTATCAAATAATATTCTTTTAAACGAATGTACTTATACATGTTTTAATCTTGAATCAAGTTCAAATTATATTGCATAATTAATTCCATTATCTATTCGAATAGCAGAGAAGACAGATGATGAACATGATAACATATTTCAAAAAGAAATTCTCTATCAAGTTTACAAAACAAGTAAAAAATAAGTCTAATTTGAATTTTTTCTCGTATTTGTCATTATTTTAGATCTTGATAAAGTAACAAATTTTATTTTTGTTGAAGATTCAATAGATAAGAATAGAACATTTATCTATTTTGATCGTCCACATGAATATTATTATCAAATTAACATTTTTTGTTATGGATTAGATGAACTTTGTTTACATAATAAAATATATATTTAATGAATACAACTGGAAATTGTTCTCATTGTACTTTTATTTCAATATTTCCAATTTTACGAGGAAGTAAATATAAATGTAAAGCAAAGACTATAAAAGAGAATTTCGAAGATAGAATATCTGATGAATTTAATTTCAATAGCAGTAAGTCACCGAGAATCTTTAATAATATTTCTTCAATATTTAAATTATATATCGTTTTCTTAGACCTTGAACCAATATTATATAATGGATTGAATCATTTTAACACAAGTGTTATTAATTTGACTGTAGTCTCCCAAAGTGATATTAATGTTTTTTTTGAGTTAATATGTATCGTTGATGATAATAATAGAACATATCCTTGTTCGAATTCAACAGTAACAACATATTATTGTACGATATTTTTAGATTTCGTTGGGATTCTTGAATGTAATTAGATATGCTATTCTATAACAAAAAAATCTAATTATTATCATAAATATTCGAATGATTACAGATGAACATTTTGTCAGTATTAGATGATGCATCAACAACTGAACATCATATAATTGAGATTCATTAATCATTATTTTCTAATGAATATGATATTGTTACGGATTATTTGATTTACGTACGCCAAGGTTCACAAAGCATATCCAGATAAATATCGCATTTTTTTAACCTCCTTCTACAATGGCTAGAAAAAGAAAGTCAAGAACAATCCCTAAATTTACTGTAGTTAATAACTTTATATTTTTTGTAATTATGTTTCACAGTTGATACTAATTACCTATCCTTATCTCGACTCTTTTTTTCGTAAAACTTTCAATTTTTGCTTCTTTGTTCTGTAATAAGATACAAATATAAGCATAGCATTTGCTTTTTCATACAACAGAGTCCTTAATAATTGCATCTCAGAATAGAAGCAAAAAAGCTGAAATTTTCACTATAAATGAGTCTCATTAAGAGTATTATTTGTAAAAAGTTTCAAGTTAGAACTCGAAAGTCAACTTTCAAGGCGACTTCCTACAAGTTTCATTAAAATTCATGTTCTGGAAGTTTTTGAATAGCTGCTGTAAAATCATCTTTGTACATATTGTTCAAACACTCATGTAATTGATGAAACAGTTCATATGTGCTAGAGTATTGTCATGCTGATGGATGACATCAACTGATATTAAATCTCGTCGTTGTTTTTCAATTTCTATGAGAAGTTTATTAACCAAAATCTTAGCCAAACATGTCTTCGTTATTGTCACATCCATATATACAGGCTGCTTGAGAATTATTCCTTTGTGATTCCAAAAAAGGAATAAAAATAGTAGAAGTCAATAAGAGCAGTTCTCTGTTGAAGCTTAGATTTGGAACAATACATCTTCATAAAGGTTTCGATCTGCATTCAACTAATTTGGATGATGACACGCTCGATTTGATAGCAAATTCAAATTCAAATTAATCTTAGTTCGAAAAACTTGTAGTATGTAGTAGCTATTTCAAGGCGACTATTCGTTTGGAATCTGAACACAAAGAGTGGGTGGGTGTGTAACGGCGTTAAGGAGCAGAAGACATAGTCCACACCCATCCCACTCTCACATGCAGCACCGCCGAAAGGCAGTGATATAAAAAAAAGTTCTGAGGTGCATAAAAAGCTTGTTTCTTTTTTCTTTTCTTTTCATTTGCTTTTCGTAGAGTTTCTTTAGAAGAATTGTATTCAGGTAATTCGAGAAAAGTAGCAATCGATCGTGACGTAGTTTATGCAGACTGCAATGGATATGAGCATATTTTCGGTTTTATGGTACTCTTTTGATGTTATTTTATTTGTAGTACTGGTTGTCACGATGGGATAAGTCGTGAATGCACGAAATGTGAAGAAGATGGTATTGAGACAGTAGTCTATCGGAAAGGCTTTTTACTTCAGCAGATGCAACGTAAATGCTCATCATGCAATGGTGAAGGTACCCTGATCACTTCCAAAAATTGCCACGGTAAAAAAGCTGTTCGGCAAATGAAGAATTTGGATGTATATATTGCGCCTGGAAGTTACAACGGAGAAACAATCAAGTTCAGTGGTGAAGAAAACGGGATAGTAAGTTTGAGAATATGTATTGGTTTCATTTCATGCTGTCTTCTTTGACTAGTCCGAAGGAGAAAATAGCACGTTATATGTTGTTCTTCAACAGCAACCACATTCCGTCTTTGAACGAATACGTGATAATCTGACAATGAAATTAAAGATAAATCTTTCTGAATCATTATGTGGCTTCCATCGTGGCGTAACACTACTTGATGGGCACAAAGTAGTAATTAAACATCCGCTAGGCAAACCGATTGTGCCTAACACCTACCGTTGCATAAGAGATCATGGTATGTCAAACAGACATGCACACTTACATGGTGATTTGATCATTCATTTCGGTGTGGAGCTTCCGGAGGAAAATTTCGTCATAGATGAAACTCACGTCAGTTGAAAGTGAGTCCTCTTTCTCTTCATCGTAGCCTACACTCTTGCCTTATATTATTTCAGCAACTGGAAGCCATCCTGCCATCAAAACAGCATGTTGAACTGAGCAGTGAAGAATCTTATGAAGAAACTACGATGATAGAATGTGAACCATCTCGAAAGCAGTCTGAACAACAACGTTTTGGAAACGGTCATCACTATCACGGAACAGAAGACGATTAAGATGATGATGTTCATGGTAATATTCATGGCATCCTATGTCACACACAATAAGCATTTATGAATTCCTCTACTTTTCCAACGCATCACAATCAATTTCTCTAATACCTTCAGTCATCTTAAAAAGTCTCTCTTGAGTTTTTTTCTTTAAAAACAGTGTATTGAATTTTAAAATAATAAATTTAGGTTAGAGGTGACACCAGTCTTGTTAAAAAGTGGAAATGCATAGCTCTTGTCTATACAGAAGAATTCAAACCTATCAAAGAGACTATGCATGTGCGCAAAAAAAAGATCTTCACTGTCAGAAAGTTACTTTGCTAAAATAGATGATGCACTATTGAGTAGTCAATTAATTATTGAATATTCCCGTGTGGGTAGTACAAATCAACCAAGAAGCAGCGTTGCTTTTGTTTTTCGTCCATTGCCATTTTGAGTAAATCATTGCTGGCTGTTTTTCAAGCCATATTTTATCTTGCTCCTGAAAACTCCAACAGTCTTCTAAAAAAGTGTGGAGGTGGGTATGGAGCGTGTATTAGCATTCTCTTCACCCAAACTCATAGGCTCAGTCACAACCAGAGCCGAATCTACACTTATACCCTATGTAGATGGTTTCTATAAAAAATCCCTACTGACCGTAAACAAGTAGAAAAGAGTATATGCGTCAACCAAATTTTTCTTCGATAGTTGCCGTCACTAACAAATCCATACCACATACTAGGTGCATCCTAATGTGCACTGGGCATTCTCTTTTATGATAGACAATATACTTGGATTTATTTATGAAGCGAAGATTACATACAATTTCATATAAAACTTGACGATTTCGTTAAAAACTCATTTTTATATCACACTCAGAAAAATATGGTATTTGTTGGATTCAGAATCATATTCTACACGCTCAATGAGAAAAACCGCACCCGGTTTGATAAGTTCTTCCTCCTCATCTGGATAATCCGAAAAGTTGGATACATCAATTGATCTTTCGAATGTTAATTCGATGATGAACAATACATTCCCAAACTCCTCTGCTTTTGCTCGGTTTCGTGAACATGATGTGAACGCCGGAAACGACGGAGTCAGATTATCGTCACTACTTGGGCTTCGTTTGTTTCGAATGGAATTATGGTAGCTTTGAATCATTTCATCCGTCAAATATGCGCCCCGATAGACAACTATCGGCTCATCAGATTTTGCATCGACTATGTATTTCTCTAACAGTAATGCAAATGGCCCGAACGTTTCCAGTTTGCTTAGCCACACTGTGTGATGTTCATCATCAGCTACAAGTCTCATTGTCTCATTGAGTTTCTGACAAAGAAAACTTTCCATTGTGTATAAATGCGCACAGCACTCGCCCACTTCTTGCAATGTTCCTCGTTTAACTTTCATCAACTGCTCGGCCATCCATTCCGCTTCTCGTTTTTTTCCCGTTAGTTTGCCCTCCGCAATGAGACCCTGAGCTGCGCGTTCAACTATCTCAGATAATTGTGCCGTGCGATGATACGATGATGCATTGAGTTGTTGCAAGGCCGCCCTTGTGAACGCCGAACCACCTGTTAATACATGCTCTTTTTTGAACGAGGCTTTAAGCGTGATTGGATTTGAGAAGAAACGAGTTTGTCTCAGTCTTTGCTCGTCTTGCTGACCCACTGTTGTTCGCTTGATAGGGCGTTGTCTATTTGTGCCATTGTTACTGATTTGAATGTTGCCCTCAAAATTAATATGATAGTCATCGAGCAATGCGACGTCTTTTTTGGCCACAAACGCTTCTTCTATGATCATATTTTCGACATCAGAAAAGTTTTTCCATTCTTCAGGCTCTGTTTTTGACCAAGGATCAACGTTGGACTTCCACATCCACTGGATTCTTGGTTGGCGCGCCCTACAGTACTGACGATGATTGGAAAATGAGTCGTCGTTGGGAAAATGCGGCAATATATTGGAGGCGGAACGATTTTTAATAGCAGATGAAGGAGACGATTGAGATTTTTTGATAATAGGTTTTTTTTGAATATTGGATCCTGCTATATTTTCCTGGCCCATCAATATACTATGATCATGTCCCATATTGCATGAAATCTGAAAATAAATAAAACGAAATGAATTTTATATGCCGTAATATGTCCACAATTCGGTAGATCGTTTGCAGCGGCTTTATGTTATTTTTCTTAGAGGAGAATCCAAGAAAAGTAAAGAGATATAGATGTTGTATGTACGAAAGTAGAACATATACACACAGAAAACAGAATGCAGAAAAACAATTCATTTTTATAAGGAAGCTTCTTGTTTCTTTCATCATACTCGATCAAAATCAAATCATAACGCAACTACACATATTTGCGTCGAGCAATACAATGGCGCGAGACTCGCGTACACTTTCGGATGGTTTTTTGTGAAACATGATCTAAAAGGAGTGTTGGAGTATATAATGTAGAAATTTGAATCCGCTCCCTTGCAGATCGTGACAGATATTTTAATTTATCAATTAGTTATCAGGTAATTAATGATCTCTTAATAATTAGTTAATGAGTAATGAATGCAAGGAGTAGTCAAGAATATAGCGAGAAAAGTGAAACAGCTCTCTTGCTAGCCATAAATCGTGACAGACGATTTGGGAACCCCGTCACTGACTGTGCAAGATATTATTGATATACGGTCAAAGACCGTTTATCAATAGCTGATTATTATAATATACGAACGTATTTCTGATTCCAGCCCGGGAGCAATTAATGAAGGAATAGTTTAATAATGTGCTGCAAAATAGATAGTTAAAATAAG